ATAAAATTCATGAATTTATTAAATTAAATATTTTTTTAATTTATATAATAATATATATAAAATAAATAAAAATTAATTAATAATATTTACATTAGATTTAAAGTTTTTGTTAATTGATACATTAAGAGGTTATAATTTAAATATTAACCTACTAGAAATTTCTATTATATTAGTTAATTTTTATATAATTTTTGTTTAATAAAGTCAATTAAATGATCGTGAAAAGAATCTAAAACAAGAAGTTAATTAGAATTAGAAAAGTTAATAGTTCTTCTAAACTAAATATTTTCTACCTACTATATCATTTTATTTTGATTAATTCACCCTTTTACATTTACTTTTATAAATATACTACTAAGAAATATTTCTCTAGGTATATTCTTTAATTTAAAAATAACAACAAATAACAATTTTGATTCATCAGTTATATAATTCAAAATAATTTTAAATATACTTCTTTTATATTTAGTAGCTTTAATATTAATAGTATTAAACTGCATTTTTCTAAAATATATGAATTAGATAAATCAAAGAATACTGATGTTTTATTTATATTTGAAGTAGATAATTATATTATATTCTTTTATAAAGAATAAAACTTAAAAATCTCTGTTATTTTTCTTGTAAATCTTTTGGTAAAAGTTGAAATACTGTTATTTTTTGATAATTTGAAAGATTATAATAGCTTATAAAATAGTCTATCCATTTATTTAAAAATTTAAAAGAAGAAATATAAATATTTTTCTTAATATCTATTAGTTTATACAAATTCTTTAGTTTTTTTTACTACTATATTTTTAATAATTAGAAAATTTTGATCTTAATATTTTAAAATCTAATTTATTAATTCATTTTTTAAATCTAAAAAAAAAAGGTTGTCTACATCTATATAATTTTAATAAATAAGATGTAGAAGTTTTAAACTAATCTTTTTTCTTCCTTTAATTATAAATTTGATTTAGCTATAAATTAAATGTCTTACAGTAATATAAATACTATTTGAATTATTTAAAAAATATAAACCTATTAAGAATAAATCTAAAATGTTTAGCACTTTTATTTGTCCTAACTAATTTTAATAGTGAAATGTGTTATAGAAAAATAGAATATGATAACATTAAAAAATCTTATATATTTATATTTATATAGTCCGTTTAAATTACCCTCCTCCTTATAAAGTATTTTCTAATCAAAACTACCTAAGTATTTTGCAAATTTATAGGTAGATTTATAAAATACCTAAGGTAGTTTAGTCAGTATTTTATAATAGTATTTATTAAACATAAAATATTATGTATATTAAGCAGCTATTTGTGATGATTCTGATATTGGAGATTATCAAGTAGCTATTTCTATCAACTTACTTTTTAATAATGCTCCTGTTCCTAATGATGTATCTATTAATTTTATATAGATTTATTTATGTTGCAAAGGTAATTAATTAGTGAAATTTTACATATAATTTTTATTATAGGATCAGTAACAACATATAAAAATCGAAAAATGAATATCTTAAGGATAGAATTTAAAACCAGTTGCATTTTTGAAACTGAATTTAAATTGGATGTAATCAGTTTGATCCTTTTTAAATCAGTTTTTACAAATCTGGTTAAAACTGATCTTTGCAACTAGTTTTATATTTGTTAATTATCAAATTTACAAATTTTACGTAAAAAATAACTTATGGAATTTTTGCTTAAAAAATAATAACACAAAAATAATTTGCACTTCAGCATTTAAAAAACTTTCATTATATCAAAAAAACTTTTAAAAACAATATTATTAATCAAATTACTTCATAAGCTTTTATATTGTAAAATTTGTAAATTTTACTAATCTGATTAAAAATGATCATTTCTTAAATGGCATAAAATTTTTGTTAGTATCAAACCGGTTAGGACACCCGTTTGCACCCGTTTTAAACGCAAACTGATTTTCGTAGGTCAAACTGAATAGTCAGAAAACTGGTTAAAACTGGATTTAAAACTGAATGATACATCCGGTTCCAAACTCTACTCAAGGGTAACACAAGGGTCATCTTTTATGCAAAGTTCATGATTATATATAACAATATATCGGTTAATAATAGTCTCTCTATAATTTAATTTCTTTGTTTCTTATTGTCACGGATTAGTAAAAAAGTTACTTTTATTTATAAAATTAATGAATAGTAACTTATTTATTTTTTTAATATTTCACATTAAATTTATACTTCTATCGCATTAGTCATGGGTTCCATCCTCCTACATCGGGTCGGAATTCATTGCCATTAACAACTAATTTGTTATCAATTTGTATCCACCAATTTGGAAGTTGTTGTTTAATTGAAATCATTAATGAAGAATGAACTTCTGACTTCATACCACCATAAAACCGTGTTACACAAAATTATAAGGATCAGCAAATTGATCGAAATTATTGTCGAGTTTTGATGAATAGTTTATCATCAATTCTTTCGGTTTGAAAGATATTTTGGATAATTCCAAGAAAATTTTCACGTTTCTTTGTTTTAATGGATGGCAAATCGATCTCTAAAACATCTAGATCCGAACCATCTTTGTGTGACTCTTCTTTTGCAATTTTAAGATCTTTTTCAATTTGATCTATAGCCTAAAAATAATGAATCGTTAGTCATAATCCATTCATCATATTCTTAAGTACTACATTTTGACTCAGTTTTTTTTCACAAGACTTTTGAATCAAATTTTTTATTTTAGGAATTTTGATTGTAGTGTGAATGAATAGTTAAAAGCTGAAATCAAGAAATAATACCTGTCCACTACTTGAAATATTTGAGATAACGTTAACACTAAAATCATTCTCATTTCACAGAACGTGGTTGTCATGATTAGGTGGAAAAATAAGTTGAGAAATGACAAGTAAATTTTATCCCTTATACTCGCGTTCCTTATTGGAAATACTAAGTGGTCTCACAAAAACAGAAGAATATGATAATGTATATTATTTTTAAAATGAATATTTACAATAAATATTGATCGCCGAGATCAAATTAAACAGATAGATCATATTTAATATCCTTCGCATGTAATTTATATAGAGGGTGGTTTATAACGATAATTAAACGTAAAATCATCCCTTTGTAAAAAATCACCAATTTTTGTGAAACCGGATTTGGCTAATAAAGATTTGCTACGCGAATTTTTTTTTTTTTTAAAAAAAAAAAAAATTAGTAGTCTTTTCCTAATGTTAATTTAATGTCATAAATAAATTTAGTATATTAAATTTATTTATGTATAATGTGTATAAATTTTCTTGAAAAAAAAAATAAAAAATAATCTATAATAAAAAAATGCAGAATTGAATTGAATGTTTTTGGTATATATATATATATATGTAAGGAAATCAAAAATAAACTTTCTTGATACACAAGCCATAAGGACGTAAGTCCGCTCCATCCGGTGAAATCCAATATTCACCAATTCCAGTTTCACTCTTTGAAATTCTAACCAAATTATTCGGATTAACCCTATTTTGAAATACAACTAAATACTGCTCTCCATTAAAAGTGTATTTGGTAGCATATCTAGATGCGACATCAATGTCCGGTGTTGAATAAATTCCACGCCCAAATCTGAATCGTTTACCCTTACACAACAGATATCCGTCTTGAGCGATTGATTTAAAATTATGCTCGGCAGTTCCATGGTAAGAAACTATTTAAAAAAACAAAATTCATAGGTATGAGTAAATAATGACTAAAAATAAGAAAAAAAAAAAAGGATTTGTTAATTTTACCTGGCCATTCATTGGTTACGGAATTAGTGGAATGACTTCTTCTATTACCACCTACACCAAGCCAAAGATTATTTTCATATTTGTCAAGAACGTTAAGGGCAATTCTTTTCCAACCACAAGGACGTTTATATTCAAAAGAACCTCGCATAAAGGTTTTTCCATGATCATTTATATTTGTAAAATCAAAATCATGGATCAAGAAGATTTGGATGGATAAATAGTGCATCATTAGCACCACTTAATATTAAATGCAAGGTGGAGTTATAAGTTATTCTGTAAACTGATAACTTCAATTCATCTAAAAGTTGATTACCAGCATAGATTAATCGTTGATTAGCTGGTTTAATGCCTTCCTCATCTTGAATGATCGATTTTAATTCGTAAACAGTTATATTAAAACTTTCAATTGAAATTGTAATGGTTTTATCGCTCAAAGTCTTTACAAATATAATCTTTTTAAATGGTTGGGTAGCTTTAGAGGGCATTCTCCGAAGAGTTGTTGGCACTATCCCACCGACTAAATGAGATTGATGAAGTGCTTCTTGATTTAACTGAATACTCCTCCTATATCTATATTTAGAATCATCGTAGGTAATAATGTTGTTATTGGTAATGGCACTGAGGGCTGCGGCTAAATGTGAATCCATTTCTGAACGATTTTTTTGATTTTTAATCTTTTTTATTAGATCTTTTTTTTTTTTTCTTTTTTTTTTTTCTCGCTCGAGGGGATTCATCGCTTATTTAAATCTTTTTTCGAGAGAATAGTACACATAATTAGACACAATAGCAAAAGGACATGATGTTACTCGATTTCCTTTTAGAAAAACGTTTTTGTTGGTCTAATACAGTAATATTAAAATGATATTTAGTGTTACAACGTTAAAAATAGAAATAGATAAATTTAATAGTTATTCGGTGATGAAATTCCGGTCATTTGATCCTATATTTTAAGGAGGCTAGAAAATATTTTTGACGAAACTGCGGCACGAAAACTTACTGAAAAAAATTGGTAAATTCAGTTGGTTTACTTTATGAACACTTCAAAATTAAAATTAAAATTTTTTCAAGTTTTTAAACATTTTGTTGTTGTAAGGGCTATAGCAAAAAAAAAAGTCTTTGATTCACCACAATTTCTAATTATTACATGTTATATAGAATTAGAATTATCAATAACCATCAAAGAAAATTTTATGTTGAAAGTAATGATCAATAAAAATAAATTACATCATAGAAAAGTATCAAAGAACCCACTATGTGAATTTTTATATTTAGTCTTTAATCATTAATTAACCCGCCTACTTACACTTATGTTATTAATAAGTTAGTATTACCAACCCCCCCCCCCACTAAAAGAAATGCTTGGTTCAATTTTGATACATTTTGTTGTTTATTCCTGCACAAGCATTCATCAAATGACCCAGGGCTTTATGACATGTGTTCACTTATAGTATGTTTACTCCTAATTTTCGTTCTTCCAGAGGATTTTATCCTTGACAAAATAAATAAATGAATGTTAATTTTTTTATTATGATAAAAAAATTATATATTTGTTGATAACATGATTTTCGGATTAACCGTTGAAAAATCAATTTCGTTGAAGTGTTCTACTGCGCCAACGATTTACACAGCTTCATGTATATTATTAGTGGAATTAATCACAATATTCGTTGGGTGGTCCACATGAGCGTGTATGTTTATTTATGTTTATAAAAGCATAAATCAATCTTTTATCATGTAATTATTGATGTAAACTTATTACCAAACTTCATGTTGATATTACAATATCATAAAAATATCACCATTGATGATGGTGGTAGAAGTTATTGTCAAAGAATTGAATCCATAGAAACTTGCATTGATGTCAACCTTAGAAACCTTACATTAAAGTATTGATATTAAGAGGTGGTGGTAGAACTTTATACTGTATCTTCATTATATCTTCATTATAAACTAGGTGATATTCTACGAAGAAATTTGTATTAAAACGCTCTCGTGATCGGAAAGGAACAAGTTTGCAATTACATACACTATTTTTGTACGATTTACTCATTTGTTATTATGAGCATCAAGATGATGATTCTTATTTGGGGAAACACATTATAATAAAATACTATGATTTGAAATTTTTTCCCAACGGCGTATATTAAAGATTTAAAAACAATTAAATTATTGATCACCATAAATGGTGACATCATGGAAAAAATGATAACGGACGAAATGTGAAAACCTTTTTTTTCCTTCAAAAGATTTAAAATAGGCTAGCAATTTCCTTTGTAAAAAAAAAAATTTCAAAAAAGAAAAAATCATGTCAAATACTCTTTTAGCCGCAGCACTCAGTGTGGTTGTTATGATGAATTGAATCAAAAGTCTCTTCATCAGATCTCATTTAGTTGGTGGATTAGGCGAAGTTTGGACAATTATTCATTAAAACATTAACTGGTAAAACATTGCAAGTCGAATTTACTATGAAATTGGCAATTACAAGATAAGGAAGGTACACCGTCAGATCAGCAACGATTAATTTTTGCTGGTAAAGAACTAAAAGATGGATGACGTACCTTGAATGAATATAATATACAAAATAAATCGACCTTACATATGGTATTGAGATTGAGAGATGAAAGTCTCATTTTATATATTCTTCCTAATCACCTTGATCCAAGATTCAACTATGATTTCACAAATATAAATGATAATGGAATGAATTTTGAACAAGGAAATTTTGAATACAAATGTCCTTGTGGTTAGAAAGAATCGTTCTTAATGTTCTTATCAAATATGAAAATAATATTTGGCGTTGACGGTAGAAAATCTTTAACAAGTTCAGCACAAAATGAATGGCCAGATATAATTATCATTTTTAAAACAAAACAAAAGTATATTTTGTCATTATATATTTACTCATTTAAACATTTTTAATTCAATAATTTCAAAGTTTCTTATCATGGAACTACCAAACATAATTGTAAATCTATTGCTGAAGGAGGTTATGATTTGCGCAAATTTAAACGATTCACATTTGATGGAAATTATTTAACACCAGATATTGACATCGCTACTCAATTCATTCATGTGGAAGATAGATATCAAGTTGTATTTCATAATCGAGTTAATCCAAATAATTTAGTTAGACTTACAAAGAAACTAGTGTTGGTGAATATTGGATTTCACACGTCCTTATGGTATCTGTGTTAAAAAATTTAAATAGTTTATTTTATTTGAATAATAATAATAATAATAATAAATTTTTTTGTTAAATATTTAAATAAGTTAATATTAACGTTAATATTGATCGATAAAAAAAAATTGTAATATATATATTAAATGTGTAAATGCATTGATAAAACAAAGAAAGCGGTTTGATTGGTGTTGACAATAGAAATTTTTCATTGTAATCATTCTTTACTCATTTATTATTATTAAAAATAGAGTTACTCTTAAATAATTTCATTAGAGTTATCAAAGAAGAAATTGAGGATTATGAAATTTGGATTTTAGAGAAATATCTGTTAAATATAATCTAAATATTGATTCAAATCTGATAAATAAACAAAATTTTGACAAAAATGTGTAAGTTTAATGAATCTGGTTCTCATCGATTGATGATTAATTGAGATTAGCTTGGAAAAGTTAAAAACTTTTAAGTCAAAGCCGTTTTATATTTATTTATGACTTGAATGAGAAATGATATTATTGATTATGATAAATTACTATGCTCCAAAAGATTTAAATAGGCTAATAAATATCCTTTGTAAAGAAAAAAAATTCTTCTTCCAAAAAAAAAATGTCAACCACAATACAGTTTATTCATTATAACATTATCTAATAATTCAACAGGAATATTTGCTGAAATTACTATAACAGTTACCAAATTCAAATTGAAGATTCAAAGAGAGATAGGTACATTAGTAAATCATTAATGATTAGTTTTTGCTAGTCAACAACTTTTGGATAATCATACTTTAGAATCTTATAATATACAAAATGGATCAAATATTCATTTACTAATGAAATTACAAGGTGGTGGTATTCCCACTTTATTATATCTTCTTCCTAATCACCTTGCTCTGGGATTCAATTATGAACTCACAAATATTAATGATAATAGGATGACATTTGAATAAGGAAATTTTGAAAATAAATGTCCTTATAAATCACTCTTAAAAGTTCTTAACAAATGAAAATGATATTTGGCTTAGTGTTAATGATATAAATTCTTCAATTTTATTGTATTTTTAAAAAAATAACTTCATTTTTATCATTCTTTACTCATTTATATTTTCTTTTTAACTGCTAATGAAGATGATTATGAGATTTGTGAATTTGTAAACAATTTTCATTTGAACATGAAATTTATTTAACACTAGTTATTGATATCGCAAAATATGCTACTATATTTACTTATGAAGTGAGATCAATATCAAGCTTTATTTTAAATTTAATTAGTTTAAATAATTTAGTTAGGGTTACAAAGAGAGAACCTGATGCTAATAAATATTGGATTTTGTAAATGGAGAATATTTATGTCCTTATGGTATCTGTATTAAGAAATTTTAATTAGTTATTTTTTGTTATTAAATATTCAAATATGTAAAGAAATAAATATTGATTCAAACCTTCGATTAAAAAAAAAAGTGAAAATTATAACATGTGTAAATATAATATTGTGAAGAAACTTTTATATCAAAGATGTATATTCAAAATTTAAAAAAATTATGATTTCATTGATTATGTATATACTATAATGGGATGAAAATTGATAGTTTTTTTAAAAATTACTAATAGTTGTCTAAGATAAAAGAAAGAAATTTGACTTAGATATGAACATAATTCATTTGAAAATATTAAATCAAGCTTGCTCTTCGATAGTTAATACCAAACCTATTTATAAAACTAGATAGAGATATTAATTCATACATAAATTATTACATCTTAAAAATCTCTAAAATCAAAATAATATATTAAATCTTCTCTATAATTTTACCCATTTTATTATCTTTAATTTTTATTTTATTTCATTTTATTTCATTAGGATCAGTTTTACTTATTAATGGTATCAGTGTGGTAACTTTTATTTTTAAATGTAGATCAGCAAAGATAAATTTTTTGCTGGTAAAAAAATAGTTGAGCTTTCCTTCAATTGACTATAATGAACAAAAGATATCTATTATTAAAATTAAGAAAAATAAGAACATTTTATATCTTTATTCAAATCATTTAGATTTGATTATGATTTTACAAATATACGATATCTATGAAGATAAAAATGCCTTTATAATCAGAATTAATATTTTGATCAATTTGAGTGCTAGCAGTTATTACTCATATAATTGTGTTCAAGATGACGATTCTTATTTGGTAATACCAGATTTCATATTTTGTAAGAAGGAAATATTAATTATAATAAATATAAATAATTTTTAAAAAAAAATACATGATCATTTGATAATTAATCAATATTTTCTCTTAAGGTGTAAATTTAATAATTAAATCAATAATAATTATTGAATACCATAAATAGTTGACTTTATAGAAAAATGATATTGTGAAAAAATAAATTGGAAATCCTTTTTTTTTCTTCAATTGAATAATAAAAGATTTATATAGGTTTAGAAATTTCCTTTGTAAATAAAAAGAAAAAACATGTCAAATCCTTTTTAGCCACAGCACTCGATACTATTATAAATCAAAATATTATTATTTATGATAATTATATTAAAAAAAAATGATAGTTTTTATAGTGAATTGAATCAAAGTCTCTTCATCAGTCTCATTTAGTTAATGGTAAGGTACCTAAAGCTAAAGCTAAAGTTAAAATCTCAGATTTAAAAGATTAGGTTATGGATTAGATCAAAATTCTCTTCATTAGTCTCATTTAGTTAGTAGTAAGGTATCTAACACTAAAGTAAGATTGAATGAATTAGACAAAAGTGAACAATTATTTTTTATTACATTATCTAGTAATTAGATAGTATTAACTATTGAATTTACTATGACAATTTACTAAGTAAAATTATTAATTCAGCAAATGATAAACCTATTAATAAATCATCAATAATTAGTTTTTGCTGGTCAACAACTTAAAGATAAATGTACTTTAAAATCTCACAATAAAATGAATACTCTTACATATAAAAAATTGTCATATAAACATTTTTGATTTAATTTATCATAATATAATATAATAATAAATAATTGATT